GGGGGGGGGGGGGTCCCATCAACATGCAAACGTGCTGTAGTCTCTCCCATCACACTAAACTTTCCCCTGGAACCCACACCCTCCTCCAGCTAGTCTCCCGTTGATCTGCTCCCCTTGAAAACAAAACCTTTATCATAAGCGACAAGGATATACTGTACAACATGGGGAATTATAGCCATCATCTTGTAATAACTTTTAATGGAGTATAGTCTGTAAAAATACTGAATCACAGGCTTCCCTGGTGGCGCAGTGGTTAAGAATCCACCTGCCAATGCAGGGGACGCAGGTTCGAGCCCTGGTCCGGGAAGATCCCACGTGCCGTGGAACAACTAAGCCCGTGAGCCCCAACTACTGAGCCTGTGCTCTAGAGCCTGCGAGCCACAACTACTGAAGCCCGCATGCCTAGAGCCCGTGCTCCGCAACAAGAGAAGCCACCACCGTGAAAAGCCTGTGCACTGCAACCAAGCGTAGCCCCTGCTCGCCACTAGAGAAAGCCCGCATGCAGCAACAAAGACCCAACACAGCCAAAAATAAAAATAAATAAAAAAAAAAAAACTGAATCACTACGCTGTACACCTGAAACATAAAAAAAAAAAAAAAGAAAAACTCTTCAAAAGCGTCACCGGTACTTGATGGGATGCGTCCACTTCCTTTCCTCTCATTTTCTCCAAACTCAGCCTTTTGTCCCCACCACTCAACCAAAACAGCTTTTACTGAGATCTCTGATGGCACGTCTCCATGCTGCTAAATCCAGTGGCCGATTCTCAGCCTCATCTTCCTTGACCCTCCAGCAGCATCTGACAGGAAGATCACTTCCTCCTTCTTGTCATTTTCCTTACATGGCCTCTGCGAAATTATTCCCTCTTAGGTTTGCTATACTAGCACTGACTGATCCATCTTGGGGTGCTCTGCTAGTTCCTCCTCATTCTCCCATCTCTAAGTGCAGGCACATCTCAGGCCTCAGTCCTCAGGCCACTGCTATATCTGCCCTGCCCCTCTGCTACTCTCACATTTGCAGCTCTAGCTTTAAGCTCTCCCCTGAAATCCAGTCATATACCCAGTCGCCTCCTTGACATCTTCATTCAGATGCCCATCAGGTCCAGAAACGAGGTCTTGATCCCCGATCCAGCCCTCGACCTTATCCCACCAGTTTGCCCACTTTAGAAATGGCAGCCCCATTCTTCCACACACTCAGGTAAAAAATCGTCGAGTCATCCTTAATGCAGCTCTTTCACTCCAGATCTGCTTCCTTAGTGAATTTTATTGGCTCTGCCTTCAAAACAGAACCAAAATCTCACCATTCCTCGCCAGCACCATTGTTGTCACCCTGGTTCAAGCCACCATTAACTCCCAAATAGACAAGCACAGCATCCTCCTTACCAGTATCCGTCTCCTCCCTGGTCCCCCTCACTATTCTCTACACAGCAGCCAGGCTGATCCTTTTAAAAGGGTAAGTCAGAGACCCTCACCCTGCTCCTATGTGTCTTGGAGCCCAAGCCCTTGAGAAGGCATGCAACGGTCCTGTGCTCTGGCCTACAACTCTGACCTCACCCCCTCTCACACTCCCCACCCTTCCAAATATGCTTCCAATTCAGGGCCTTTGCACTTGCTGCTCCTTCAGCCTGGAATGTTCTTCCCCAGAGACAGAGCTGGCTCCCTTGCTGTTTCACGTCTTTGCAGTAAGAACCTTCTGTGTCCAAGTCATGTAAAATAGCAACTGTATTCCCACGTTATCCCTGGAATTCCTTAACCATGTTCCTCTGCTTTTTTTCTCCGTAGCCCTCATCAGCACCTATCATACTTTTTATTGACTGTCTATCTCCTCCAACTAGAATGCCATTCCCAGGAGGGCAGAGCTAGAACGCTTCTCTAGTGGCTGGGATTCAGTAGATGCTCACTAAACGTTGAACAAATGCATGTGCTATGCCTCTGAGCCTTTGTGCAAGCTGGTCCCTCTGCCTGGGAAGGTCTTCCCTGAGCTGGTCAACCCCGCACTTCTTACTTATCCCAGAGCCTCCACCCCCTACTTCCATAGGCTCCCTCGCATGGGTCCTTCCCTCTTGCACTGGTACAGAGATCATGCTAGATTGGGACTGTGTTTCTCTGCTACCTTCCCCAACAGACAGTGAGCATCTTCAGAGCAGGGAGAGGGCCAGCTCCCTCTGGACTAGGACAGTGGCCAGCACGAAGCCTGATACAAGTTGGCTCTAGTGATGGGTATGTAGTAGAAGGGGATTCCAGGAACACCCACTGGTATGGAGAGAATGCCCAAGGTGAGCGGAGCAAACCTGGGCTGTTGCTGGTGGACAGGTCCACACGGGATACCAAAAAGTGAGTAAAATCTTGGGACCGTCCCCAGCCAATAAAAGGAAAGTATGTTGCTTTTGAGGTATGCCCAAGCAGAGCACATTATGATGAAGCTAAATTACATCTATCCTGGAGCCCATTCTCTCAGTGCCCCATGCTCTTACCCTCCTCGTGTGTGAGAGGCAATCACGATCTGCAGGGCAAGAGCCAGTGACACAGCAAAAAAAGCATCTCCATGGGAGCCCCCTCATTGGGAAAGGCAACCTGCCATGGCCTTGAGCATCCCTGCACGTTCTTGCTGCGTACACCAAGAACCCAGTCCTGACTGTTCTTACCCAGGCCATTTATCAGGGTTGTGACTGCAGCAAGCAACCTTGAAGGATGTGTCATCTTGGTTTTACATGAAGGGAAGGCAGCTACGCTAGTGTGGAAAACCATATCCCCCACCCTGTCACCTGAAGCAAAGCCACTAGTTCAATAGGGCCCTTGAGTCAGAGGTTCCTCTGAATAGTCAGGCCTGTCCGCTGATTGTTCACCTAAATGAAGAGCTAATGGTGCTGTGAAGAAGAGTTAACATAGCTGGCCTCACTGCTATCTTTTAGAAGGCTTGCTTCCAAGGTTGGTCCTTGGCTGGTATCTGGGAATTTGGTTTCTGGGAGGGATTCCCATCACCCTAACTGATAAGAGTGGCTCACTGCACCTAAACTGTGCAAAAATGTGGTTTATGCTAAACACCCACTTTCCTTCTGGAGTCTGGGATTTGGTATGTGCTAGGCAGAGGGTGCCTACGTGACCAGTTCCCAGTAAAAACTCTGGGCACTGAGTCTTTAACAGGCTCTCCTGATAGACAACTTTTCACACGTATTTTTATAACCTGTTGCTGGGGGAATAAATTGTGTCCTGTGTGACTTCACTGGGAGAGACTCGTGGAAGCTTGTGTCTGGCTTCCCTTAGACTTCACCCAAGGAGTATTTTCCCTTTGCTGATTTTACTGTGGATCCTTTCACTGTAATAAATCATAGCCTCAAGTACAAGTACACACTGAGTCCTGTGAGTCCTCCTAGCGAATCATCAACCTTGGGGCGGCTTTGGGAACCCTCGGCACAGGTGACCACGGGCAGCAGCAGCCATCTAGCCCCAGGGATGACACTGGAAGACCAACTACCATAAAGGCTAGTAAGACAACAATCTGAATTAAAAGCCATCACTCTTGCCTAGACAATATTCCTAATGACCAGGCATGTTGTATTCTTACTGACTGTTGTCAGTGTCCTAGCCATCTGGTCTGCCAGATGAGCAGGCTACAAACTGGCAGATCAAAGATGGCCATCCCTCCTGGGGGCCGTGAACTGTGGAAACAAACTGTGGTTGACAATGGGACAGTCTGGGTCACTCGCTTAGATGCTCATAGCCAATTCTCTGATGAGACCAACCAGAATTCAAAGGCTGATCAAGCCTACACAGCCCAGCTGACTGGCACTGCCACCTACATGCATCATTGTACTAAATGTGGCAATACACTCACCACCACGGACTGACACAAAGCATAGGACTCTGTATTTCTGGTTCAGCTACCCAGAGTCCCTGGTTGGAACAGTATGGCCCAAGATCGTTAGAATAATGACCACTTGGGGGACTTTCCCTGGTGGTCCAGTGGTTAAGACTCCACGCTTCCACTGCAGGGGGCCCGGGTTCGATCCCTGTTCGGGGAACTAAGATCCTGAATGCTGCGTGGCACGGCCAAAAAAAAAAAAAAAAGAATAATGACCACTTGGTTGAGTATGCTCCTTGCCACGGCTCCCTGTAGTGGCCCATGTGGGCCAAGATGGGAGGCATGTGTCTGTAGAAATCTTGCAAAAATGCCCTTGTCCCACTCACATATGACCCTTCTGAACAAAAAGGCTAGGTGAAAGTCGGCAATAATTGGAGAAAAGTGAAATTATAGGTCCTGGGATGTGACATGTTGATTTTGTACCAATAATCTGGGGAGGGAGTGCCTTAGATCCCAGGAGGTGTGTGGAACAATTAATCCTCTTTGTCCTTTAGATCCAGCACTGCCGCCTGGCAAAACAATCCTAGGGTCCACCCAAGCCAAGCGGCAGCTGCAGTTGAGAGTCAGACCAGCTGTCCAGTGTGTCATTCTCAACCACGTGACAGGAAAATTCACATAGACGCAGTCAGTCCTGAACTCTTCTGCTGTGCCTGATACCATCAAAGGCAGCTCCCAAAGTAACCCTGTGCAGACACACAGACCAGAACCACCTTGTTTCAATCTGACATACAAATCCATCTGCTTCTCCTGATCCCTGAGCGACCCTGGTTATGCCATGTAGGGCAACTGAGGCTGCAACTCAGCAGCAACACTGCCTTCAGAGCTCAGCCAAACAATGCAATGGTGACCCAAATCAAGTGGTAACATGTAGGAGACAGTGGGCCACAGAATGCCTCTCCACTGGGGATGAGTGTTGCTTTGGGTCTATCTATTGGCCCCTATAATCACTGGCAATGACATCAAAGATGTCATTACAAGTCTATACCCTTGTATGGGTGGTAACTGATGATAAATTGGTCTTAGACGGCATTCTGATTTTCGAATGTAAGACCTACTGCCCCCGCCCCACCTGGACTTACCAGAGCTGGCTAAGTCCAGGACCCTGGAGCATATGGTTGAGATCAACACTGCGCGTGGCCTCATCCTGCTGCTTAGAGTCCTACTGACAGGAGTCTGAGACAAGCTGAACAAACGTGATCTTAGTCTCTACTGATCAGATTAATCATGGAATAGGACATTCATGTAGAAATGTGAGTTAAGCCAAGACACGCAGGGCTGATGGATGGACTGTGGGGAGGTGATCTCCATTGCCCTGCACATTCTTGCTGGTACACTAGACCACTCTGTACCTGGGCCATTTCTCAGGTTGTGTTTGCAGAAAGCAACCATGAAGGATGAGGTGATGTCTGCCTGCAAAGACTTGGTTTGCTTCTGTTCATCATAAAGGTGGTGAATTTCCCAAGCTTGGTGCTTCTAGACTTGATGCAAACCCACTGCATGCGTGGCATTTGCCTGGGCCCCTCTGTGTCACCCTCCTGGGACTTGGAGAATACAGGAAACCCACACGACCAGGCCAACAGCAACTGCTTTTGCTGCAATAAACTCTGATGTCTCTAACCTGTCAGCATCCATGAAACAGCAGCAAAATCCTAAACCTTCAGAGGTCCCTCCCTACACCTGAGAGCTTGAGATTTGAGGAGTACAGTGCTCTGGCCCTTCCTCCCTGCCGCTCAGGCCCTGCCCTGCCACCTCTGATCCCTCCCTCCCCTCTACTGTGTGTCCGTATCTGTCGTGCTTCCCCTGCAGCCTCCAGCTCTCAGAGCCCACCTCAGCCCCTAGGAGGAGAACATGTGCAGGAATGTGGGACAGAAGCCTGGCTGGGTGCTCAGAGGCTCAAGGGCAGAGAAGCATGGCCTGACCTCCCATGGCTTCCCTGACATTCGCCTGATGGGCACAGTGCCTACCGTACACTGGGATGGATGTGTTCATAGCCTCTGACTGGCCCTCACAGCTGAGGTCCACACCGCATGGACAGACAGGGAGCTGAGGCTAAGACAGGGCCAGCAGCTTGCCCGAAGGTACCAGTGAGCGAGTGATACTCAGGCCCAGACCCAGGCGCTTCTGGCTCCAAGTCCAAAGCCCTCACACTCCACTCTAGGTGCCCCAGCCCCTGCAGGCCCCGGCCTCCCAGGGCTCAGCAGAGGCCAAGCAGACATGGCCGCAGGTCCCAGCAGCTCACCTCTGTGTGGTCTACTTTAAATGGGTTCTGGAAGTCAGAGTCTTTCTCGCTGATTCCCAGCTCCTGGGCCATCTGCAGATGAGGAAAAGCTAGTTATCCTCTGCCTTCTCCTGCCTCCTGCTCACCCAAGGGCCACTCCCTCCGAGGCCTGAACAGATGTAAGCCAGGTGGTGACCCCTAGGGACCCAGGTCAGCATAGAACCCCATGAAAGGGCACCTCAAGGGGGCCCAAGGCTTATCACAGAAAATGCAACCAAGGGCTGACATTCAGGCCTCACTAAAGGCAGATGCGTGGCTCACAGCGTACCACCAGACAGAGGGCTCCCGGACCTCCTCCACCCCAGTCCTTACCAGGTTGAGGATGGGCGAGTGGGGACCCTGATCAAAGACGCCCGACTGGTTGCAGAAGCTGATACCCCAGCGGATGAGGAGGTTCCAGTTGGAGTTGTGGTCAAAGCAGTGGTGCACGATCCTTGGGAAGCGCAGCACCACATCACCGAAGAAGGCCGTGTTCTCCACCACTTGGGAGAAAGCTGGTGAAAAGACCCTGATGAGTGGCCAGGGGAGATGCCCTTCTACAGCCCTCCTGGCCAGCCCTACACACCCTCCAGAGAACAGAGGCAAGCCCACTAATCAGAGAAGGGGAACGGTGCCTGAGGCCCACAGGCTGCTGACCACATGTACAGTGCATGCTAAGGGCTTTATGTCTACCAGTTCACTGAATCATCAAAACCACCTTTAGAGGGAGATGTGCCTGCTACTACCATTTCTCACATGGGAAACTGAAGCTGACGGCTCATGAGTAGCAAACCTGGGCTGCAAACCCAGGGCTGACTCCAAAGGACATGCTCTTTCCCCCTGTATCTCACAGCTCAGAAGACTCGTTTGCCATGGGGACCGGAGAGATGGGTGTAATTTTGCACATGGAGGCATATGCATCCCATGAGGCTTCGCTGGGCCTAACCTCCCCAACTTGGTATCCTAATGTCCAGAGCTGGGCCCTGGTGTTAACACAACTACAGTGTCTGTGAGGGGTCAGTTCTGTTAGGATGGCCAGGGAACACATCAGGGTTTGTTTTCTTTTTAGTGTATGCCCAATTTTATTTTAAATGCTTAAGTTCTTATTTTGAAATAGTTTTAGACTTACATAATACACCACAAAATTCCTTCACTGGGCTTCCTCTAATGTTATCATCTTATGTACCCATTGCACAACTATCTAAACCAGGAAATTAACATTGATACAATACTATTAATCAACCCACAGACCTAATTTGAATTTGGTCAGTTTTCCCACCAATATCCTTCCTCTAGTCAACAAATCAGTTTAGACTGAGTTTAGTGTCCATTATGGTGGCAGGTCCCCGAACCCAGGCTACATGAAGAATAGTAACTATACACCCAGCCCTGGTGGCAGCCCCTGTTTGAGTGACCCCTATAGATAAGGCCCAGGCAGCGCTCACCAGCACTGGCCAGACCACACAGAGATAAGCTGACTCCTACAAAGATATGCCAGGTTGGGTCTGAGACAAGTGGGGCAGGGACCCCTGGGCTTCAGAACAATCTTGAACCGCAAAGAACTCAGGAGTTCGCTTGGTTTACAGGTAAGAGCCAGGCAAACCACCTGTCCTCTTTCAGGTGGAAACTGGAGGTAATAGTGCCTTCCTCAGTTATCGTGGAGATTAGAGATATTTGTAACGTGCCCAACATTCAATACATAAAGGCTCCTTCCATCCTGTCTCAGACAGTGCGACCTAACAAACTCTACTGTTAGAATGTAACCAGTTAATGGGGAGAAATTACCATTGAAGAGAAATTCTTGGAAAAGGAGATGAAGAGATTCAAAATATTCTTTTATTTACCTATGTTGGTCTCACCTTGTCTCAAAAAGGATTTAAGGGGGTTGAAGCTTTTAAAACAGTAGTAAAGAGTGAAGGTAACTGCTCCCATGGGCCAGTCACTTCAACAGACCTCAGTTCTTTCTCCTATAAATGGGAACAACCCTTGCCATCTCTACCAGGAGGGTCAGGGTGGTGAAGGCAAGGATTTCTGGAGTGGAAGTGGGCAAAGGCTCCTCCCTAGTTCCCCTGTCTCAAACACCTAACCACACGACAGAATATATCTGTGTCAGAGACACAGAAACTGGCTCTGAAACGAGCCGAGAAACACTCGGAGAATCATATACTAAGTGCCCAACTACCCAAAGAGACTCCTTGGAAGGTGCCACAAGAGGGTACTTCCAGAGAGAGAAAAAAGTGACAAGAACAAAAGGGAAGGAGCAGCTAGAGAAGATCAAGGATGGAGCGGGGAAGAGGAGAGGGAGAGATTGGGAAGACCATACCATCCTTCAGTTTCTCGTCCTGGGGGAAGGGCCCATCTGGGAGCACATCTGCAGCAATGAGCACTGTCCGGGAGTCCTCCAGCACCTGAGGGAACCCCACCTGGGCTGAGTGGCTTTGAAAAGGTCTTCCCAGACCGGCCCCAACCCCATTTACTTCAACCCTACTTCAAATCATCTGTGAGGGGCTTCCCTGGTGGTGCAGTGGTTAAGAACCTGCCTGCCAATGCAGCGGACACGGGTTCGAGCCCTGGTCCGGGAAGATCCCACATGCCGCGGAGCAACTAAGCCCGAGCGCCACAACTACTGAAGCCTGCGCTCTAGAGCCCGTGCTCCATAACAAGAGAAGCCACCGCAATGAGAAGCCTGTGCACTGCAATGAAGAGCAGCCCCTGCTCACTGCAACTAGAGAAAGACCGCGCATAGCAACGAAGACCCAACATACTCCAAAATAATTAATTAATTAATTAATAATTAATTAATTAATAATTAATAAATTAATTATATATTTAAAAATATATAAAAATATTTAAAAAATATTAAAAAAATCTTCTGTGCATGCGCTTCCCCCTCAGTGAACACCATCCCCTTGGGGAATTCCTATGCATCCATCAGTGCCCAGATCAAAGACCAGGCCTGCCATGAGCTGCCCCCTGCCTGCATGCACCTTAAAGAGCCCCTTGAGCATGACATCAAGGATCTTGTACTGCTGGTGGACATCATTCAGCTGTGCTAGGTTTTTCAGCGCCAACAGCTGCTCCCGCCGCTTCACCTCAAACATCTTCTTGTCTGAGCAGCATTTAGTTAAGGAACTGGCACCAGTTCTCCTGCCTGGATAATCCAGTGGTCCCGATCGAGAGGGCCCACCCTGGCCAGCAAGTCTCTGCCAGGGGCATAGATGTGCATGCCTGGGACTCCCCAGGGAACGAATACAACTCTCTGAGAAGCATATGAATCCTGCAACATATCATTCATCCACTTCACAGAGGATTCCACACCCGACAACCTGAATACAACCCTCAGGACCTGGCTCCTGCCCTCCCCTCCCCGTGGTCTTTCCCCAGTCTCCCACAGCCACTCACTGCTCCCAGAACCTCCACCCCTCTGCTCACACTGTACACTCTGCCTGGGGTGCCCCCCACCCTTCTCTATGAGTTTCTATTCTTTCAAGACCCAGCCCTTGGGTAGGCAGCCCAGTATGCCAGGGCTTGGTCTCCAGCCAGGGTCTCACCCAAAAAGAACGAGGCACATGTACAATCCTCAAGAGTCCTCATGGCTCTGAGATATATGCCTTGCCTTCTCAGTTTAACATATGGGGAAACTGAGGTTCAGAACAGAACTGACTTGATCAAGGTCTGGTTAGAGCACCTTACTTTTTCTCCCCTGTTCCTATTAGGGGGTTCTGCTCCATCCCTGGAATCTCCCAAGGGGTTGTGGGTATAGAGAAACCTCATTTATAGACCCCTCAAAAACACCTCCAACCCCAAAGGATACAGATTTCCAGGCTCGGGTCCAGGGAGGTCCTCAGGGTGTCTGTGATTCCTGTCCCAGACAGCAGCAGGACAGAGAGGAAGGCCAGGAACTGAAGAAGGTCCATATCCAAGACTCTGGAGCTAGGGGAGTAACCCAGAGAAAGAGGGTGAGACCCAGAGCTTGGTGTTACATGAAACAGAAAGTGAGGTGAACAGCAACTTCCCCTGATAATGACACAGCCTCCAAATACCAAGAACCCAGCTTTGGGAAGCCCTGGAGCCCCAGTTCCTAGCCCAGGGCCAGTGACCAACAGACACAAAATAAAAACATGGGATGATAGGAGGGAGGGAGAAAGATAAAGTCAGCAAGCCAGGGATGCTTAGAGAACAGGGATCAACGCCTGGAACCCTGCACTGGAGCTCTGGCTCTGCCTGACTTTGGGACCTCGGGCAAATTGCTCAGCCTCTCTGAGCTTCATCTTCCTCACTGCAAAATGCGGATAAGGAAGTCATCTCCCTGTTGCAGAGAAAGAAGGCTGGGTGAGGCACTGTGCCTGAGGAAGGAGGGCCTGGTCAATATCATTGCCTCTCAATTCCCCATCCTGTCCTCTCAGGAGGCCCAAGCAGTGAGAGATGTGAAACTTCTGGGGTTTCCCACCTTTCCTGACTTCTGTCATCAGAAAGGAAGAAGGGGTGCAAGGTGGGAAGGGAGGCAAGACAGTCTTGGCATAAGACGGCTGTTATTCTCTTAGGAACCATAGGCACCACAAGCAACACCTGTTCCTATCTAAGCAACATTCCCCAATTACCTACTGAGTATCTGTCATGTTCTAAGCACTGTTCTAGAGCCGGGTATACGGCAGTGACAAACAAAATTCCCTGCACACTGGTACTTTCATCCCTAGTAGGGTTAAGAGAAACCAATAAAGTTGTAAAACAAGCACAGAAAGATGAGAGGGAGTCAGCAAAGTGCAATATTAAATACAGTAGTCAGAGGTAGCCTCTACTCAGATGATAGCTGCCCAATTTTACCAACGTGGAGACCAAAGCACAGAAAAATGAGGAGACTGCCCAAAGTCACTCATGGGTTCTCAGGCTAAACCAAGAGTCTTAATGAGCACAGGCTATCTCAGAGCTGGCCACTGTTCTATTAGGACACCTAGGTGTGTCCTAGAGATGCTCAGTTATTGACAGTGAGACCCCACACAGATCAACCAGAGAACCGCCCCCACCCCACGCTGATGAGACAACTGAAGCCTAGAGAATGGGAAGAAACAGTTCAAGCTCACCCAGAACCCTTACCTTCCACCGTCACGCTCCAGACTCAAGGGAACCAAACACTGGTTAAAGCAGAACTTGGGGTCAGGGGAAATGAGACAGCCGGTAATGACTGAAGCAGGAAGAAGTGGGAAAAGAAAGCCAAAAAAGCGGACTGCGTGGGGCAGATCCTGCTGTCTCTACTGTTACTCCCACTTATCCGCCTTTCAATCCCGATCCCTGCCCCGTGAGTCCCCAGAGCTCTTCCCGGCTGGGCGTGCGACTCCGAGGCCATTCTGCAGAGGTGGCTTGGTGGTGGATCCTGAGCCGGCAACCTGGGCTCGGAGACCAGGGTCGCTGCGCCTAGCCTTTACAGCTCCGGGAAGAGAAAGTCTTTCTAATGAGAAGAGGCGTCCGGGTCCGCGAATCCCAACCCCCACCCTGTGCAGCCAGTTCTGGGCCCTCGGTCCCTCCCCCGCCCCCCCGCCCCGCCACGGGAGCCTGCCCGCCTGGCATCCCCGCCCCCACCTACCAGGCTGGGCGGGCGGGTGGGCGGGCGGACACGAGTCAGCGTGCACCTCGCCTCGAGGGTCCGCAGACGACCGGCAGAGGTGCAGAACCTCAGGGTCCCAGAGAAGCCTCGCAGGAACTGCCGAGCGCCACCCCCACCCAAAGATCGCGGGCCGCGACTGCCGCTCCTTGACCTAACTTCCGGCCCCGCCCAGTAGACTCCAGCGCTAGCCCTGCCCGAGGTCCGTGGGAGTTCGGTCCCGCCCACCCTGCGTGGCGGCTTGCGCACTTGCCGCGTTAAGGTGGGGTTGGAGGAAATAGCTTGCCGTGTGTGTCTAAAGTAAAGAACGCATCAGCAATGAGGCCCTGACACCTGCAGGCCGGGCGGCCTCCCCAGCGCCCTCCCCGAAACTGTTTCGTTAGCTGTGTTTTTTATTTTTTAAAAAATATTTATTTGGCTGCACCGGGTCTTAGCTGCGGCGCGTGGGATCTTCAGTTGCATGTGAGAATCTACTTCCCTGACCAGGGATCAAACCCCGGCGCCCTGCATTGGGAGCAGGGAGTCTTAGACACTGGACCACCAGGGAGGTACCAGCAGAGTGTTTTTTAAACTGCAGTTGTCAAGATCAGTTTAGTGGGTCGTGGCTAACACTTTTTTCTTTTTAAGTAACGTGCAGTGCAGAGTTGGGGCATACCCTGCTCGCCCCTCGGATCCACCAAGTTCTAACCCAAGTTCGTGGGGTCCTTCCCTGTCTTATCATTAGGACGGAGTTCAGCCCAGTTTTGCGTAGGGTCAGTCCAGCCAGACCCAAGAGCTAGCCAAGTACAGGCACTGGGGCCCTGGCAGGCAGGAGGGAAGGGAGTTAAAGGCCCTGGTGAGCTGAGCTCAGAACACGTGCAGGCAGTTGTGGAGGGCAGACATTGAAAGAACTGCACATGTGTGTGCACAAATACACGCTCTGGGGAGGGCCGGGAGAGAAAGGAACACAGGGGACCTACTTTAGCCAGGGAAGAGCTGAGCTGGGCAGTTTCCCTCAGCTACGAAGGCTGAGGAGGTTTTGACCTGCTCACCTTCCTTGCCTGGAAATTGTACCTCTCTCCACTTTCACCTGAGGTGAAGCAGCAGGTAAAGTACCTCCCAGAGCACTTGGACCACAGCAGCACCAAACACATGGCCTTTCTCTGCCCCTTCTGCCCCAAGGATGGCCTGACGTCTTCAACTGAGGTAACCAGCTGGTGTTAGCAGAACAAATCCCTCCCCTTCTCTCCCTGAGGCCATCCATCCTGGCTGAGGAACCAGCTGGAGGGAGCCAAGGTAAGTCCAAAGTGAAATGTTTTTGGAGAGCCCACACAGGCATGTGAGTATATCACTATTTCCTATTTCAAGAATGGAGTAAATGGATCCAGATGCACGGCTGCAGTTGTCATCCATTTCCCCCAAACCAGTGTGCCCTGACTTTGTCTTCTCCAGGTCTCAGTTCTGTTTCTGGGCCTTCAGGTCCTGAGATCAGTCTCTGATGTGGGACAGGGATACAGCCACTCCTCCCAGGCAGCTGGCAGCAAACATGAGAGGAGAATATCAGAGAGGTGGGGCCAGCCATGGGAGAACCACCCTTCCAGGGCCCAAAAAGGCAAAAACAGACAAGAGCAGAGGTGCACCTGAGAAGAGTGGGATGGATTCTAAAACTGGGACCTGAACACCTGGGCTGGGTAGTTGCTATACATCAGGGAACATTCCATGGAAAGGGTTAGGAGGAGAGCCAGGGAGGACACACACACACCTCCAGACCACAGTGTCTCTGGAGCACCCCAACAACCCCTCAGAGGGCCAGTGACCACTGCCCACAGCCCCAGGCTCTCTCAGGGACATGCCAGTCACCCAGCACCCTCCCCCACCGTGTTGTGCTTAGGGCAGCATCTATGCCAACCGGGCTTGGGCAACTTTCTCCAAAGCTCCTGGGGAAGGACTAGCTCCCTTCTGAGTCTGGTGATATGACTTTGGAGATGGTCATGTCTGGAGGCAGATCCTGGTGCAATCACTGTGTGATTCTGGGCACGTCATTTAACCTCTCTGAGCTAAGTTACAACTGTGTTAACACTCCTAGCTACTGTGAGGATTAGATACAGTGCATGTAACATGACTGGCCCTCAGTAGGAACTTAATAACAGAGCAAGTCATTGTCATTGCTACCACTGTTAATTCTCGCTGACCCCTGCTTGCCGTAGAAGACAGGGCTGTAGACAGTGCAACTCTCTGTCCTGAAGCATGACGCTATAGCTTCCCATTGCCTGGGTGACCCTGCCCAGGCCAAAGCTCCCAGATGCAAGAAAGGATACATCATGTCCTGTAGGGGCGGCTGGGCCGTGGAGGCCCTGGGGGAAAGACCCTCCAAGGAGGCCTGCAGGGTCTGGGCCATGCTATGATCAGCCAGGAGGCCCATGCTCTGGATCTGCGGGGAGAAGAGGGTGGGGAAGACAGGCTTTCTCAGTGCCCACTCCACAGAGGCCCTCTCTACCCTCCACACCCTGCACTCCTGACCTCCCACTGGCTGCTGTGGCTAGAGCTCCCCACCTCCACAGGGAAGGGGGTACAGAGGGTCTGGCCTCACAGTGGCTAAATAGCATCCCCTTTCCACCCACCTGCAGGAAGAAGCCACGCAGAGCCTGGAGTGTGGTGCTGGAGAGGGTAGAGAGGTCAGCCACAGCTGCGCCTTGAAGAACATGGCCCACCTCTTCACGAGAGAGGATGCTGCTGCTCCGGAACCGCACAAACTGGTCCAGGGAGAGAAGCCCCAAACATGTAGTGATTCGGCATCTCCTTCATTCACAGGTATTTGCTGTGCCCTGCCAGGCTCAGCACTGGGCTGGGGGTATGGATCTGAAGCCCACAGAGCTCTACCTTCAAGAGCTCAGTGTTGGTAGGCAGGGGTGGAGTTGTGTCACACGAGAGTCAGGTAATGAGGAGGATTGCAAGACCCTGAGAGTTTGCTCTGCTGACCCCTTCAGTCCTGCCACTCCTACCCTGCCCCTCACACTCGACTATGTGTGGTTACCCAGACACACGACCACATTCTCATATATCTGCTGTTCTCACTTCAATACTGTACCTGCAATACTTTTCCTTCTCTTTGCCTATTAATCCTTCAAGCCTCAGCTAAAATGTTACCTTCACTGCTGAATGTTTTCATTTTATTAAAGAAATACAGGCATTAACTGGGTGCTTACTATATTCTTACTCACTTCTCCCTCACAGCTCTGGCAGAAGCAATTACTCTTTTCTCTGGGTTCCTACACCAACCATTGATTTATTCATTGATCCACTTTCCTGTCATTCACAGGCTTGCTGCCTTGTTTATTCAGTGGGCACTTA